AAGGAAAATATGTTTTCTGAGCCTGTTGAGATGGGATCATAAGAGAGAAGGGTGGACTAAGAGAGGACCCCAAAAATATGAGGTAATGCAAATGTCCAGTAGCTGGAAACTGCTGGCAAAAAGAACTCCCGTAGGGGTGAGGGAGAGGTCACACTGATGCAGATTACGGGGACCCTCATGCTTCCATTTTGAAATCCATGCCTTCCACATATCACCCACCCTATCACCTTCCACCTCCTTCTACCACCAACCCTATCAGGCCTTTCTTTTCTGAGAAATTAAAAAACAGTGAACAGTTTACTTTCATATCTTTAATTATGACTTTTAGCTAACATTTTCGTGTCTACAGTATGCCTGCTTATAGTATCTGATCTTACTTAACCTTCGCAACAACCCAGTGAGGCAAATACTATGATGAGCCCTATTTTAATACATCAGAAAACTGAGGCATAAGGAGGTTAAATAACTTGACCAATTACATGGTGGTGGGAGTGGGAGTCCTTTAGCACCAGGATACTGTGGTCATCCCCATCAAATGTGGCTGGGACTAATATAAAGATAGAACTGGAAGGGAACACAGATATCACCTAATGAAAAGAGTCTGTCTTTCATTCAACAGATGAGGAAACTGAGGCAAAAGTAACTTGATCAAGCTCCCTCCTCTGAGGACAGAGTAGGTGACTTTTCCACCATAGTCTTTATCTCTGAATTGTCACATCTCAGGCTCAGAGCTGGACTGGAGCCTTTACTCAGCCAGTCCCACCACCTCCCACTGCTTCCCAGCCCATCCATGGGCTGAACTCTCAGTCACCTCTGGCTTGTTAGATTTTCAAGTGCAAAAAAAAGTAAGAAGCTACCATTTCTTGAGGACCTACCATAAGCCAGGCTCAACCAACCCTCATATCACCCCTATGCAGCAAGTACTATTGTTATCTCCATCTTAGAGATGAAAAGATTGGCCCAGAGCATTTTAATTATTTTCCAAAGCAAGTCACACAGCTAGTAAGTAGCAAGCTCGTAGACACTAGGCTGCCTCCAACAAAAATGAACTCTTCTTAACAGCACCTGCTCCATCTTTACTCAGTTATGTTCATGCTGCCCCTGCTTTCCACCCAGAGATGCTGGTAAATATGGTGTATATTTCAACAACTTCATGCTTGCCATCCTGCCCTGCAACTTGAGGTTAAACATGATTCAAAGGCAGGACTCATGCAAAGCCAGCAGTTTGCATAGCTGGCTTTTATCATCTACCACAGGTCTGGACCAACTCTCCACCTAGAAAGCTAAATTCGTCTATTGACTAACAGCTCATGCAATTGATGCCCCACTGAAAGAAGGGGCTCAGGCTCCTCCCCATCCCCAGCCTGAAGATGTCCCTGTATATTAAGGTCTAGCAGCCACCAACAGTGTTCAGATTCCTCTGGGATAAGCAGTGATGCATGAGTTTGCCTGTGAAGACCTGAGAGCATCATAATTCAAGAAATGCAGAGGGCAAGCTGTGCAAGATTCTTGAGATAATTGAAATTGACCCATAACTCACCAGCCGCCATGGGAAATTCTACCACTTTGCATACTTTGCTTCCATAGCTAGAAATCAAATCAGGGGAACATGATCAGATTTCTAATTTGGGAGTTTGGACACGCAATGTCATCTTTAATGATTCCTGGCAGAAGATGCTCATTACAGATCTCAGCCTACCTAAATTAAAACATGAAACCTAAAAATTAAGCAGCAAATTCTCAATTTCTCAGGTCCTTACAGCCACAGGAAAATCACGCAAGTGGGAATACACATACTCCTTAGGGTTTCGTTATATCTGCAAATATTTGAGCAGGAATTATATGAAAGAGAAGAGCCAGAAGGAAAAAAAAAATAAACCCATCAGATCCTAACTTTCAGGTTTGGGCCATCTGGGTGAATAGTAATTTTCACGATCAATTCGAACTATCATGTCAGGGAACATTATCTCTCTGCTGATGGCCAATTTCATCTGTTCCATGATGAAGAGCTCAGATCCCTCTGATGCGGTAGGCGGCTGGCTTCAAGTCTTCTGTCACTGCTAAGTGGACTGAAAGATGATGCAATCAGTCAGCACAATGTTCAAGTGTATAAGGCTCCTTTAAAATGGGAGACTAAAAATTCATCTCTCATCATCAGTTCTAAACCTCATTCCGTGTGGCTTTTCTACAAATTCAGGTAACCATTAGACAGTCTTTGGAGATTGTTTTTAAATCTCTTCTCTCCACTTCCCATCCACGCTGCCCTTTGTGTCACCATATGAGTGGCTGCCATGGCCCAGCAGAATGATTTGCATCGCCAGCTTTCACATCTGCTCATGGTTCAATGTTTCTCAGACCTAAATCCAGGGAGAGGAAGCAATTCCCTGTCTGCAGCAATGCCTCAATAGATGGCCCAGAAATATTAACATAAAGTTAGATGTAAATAGAAACTACAAATTCAAAACTTTACTTTCCCCTGGCATGCATTCTTACAGAGAAAAGTTAAAGAATGGGGACCAGGACCCATGTAGGGTTACGCTACCAGATCCTGAAGATGAACATGGTAAACCTCCTCCTAAGGATGGAGAAGCATCTGCAAAGAGCGCAAAAGAGAATCTATAATTTTTATTCTTTTTTCAATTAAAAAACTACTTGTGAGCCTTAAATTGTGCACTATAGCTCACTATAAATTTAGAGATTTAGGAATTTAGGAATCTCCCTTCCTAAATTCAACTACTTAATGTGGAATGGTCATTGCATACGAAGAATGAAGGCTCAGGTGTTTCTCTAAGTATAAGTGGCAAACCAGAAAACCCTACAAGAAACTAAAACAAATGTGAAGGAAAAATCTACACCCACGCATGCTAACGGAAGCCAGGATAAAAGTCTAGGTCACTCCCAAGAAAGGCCATGTTTGTTATTTCATCACATGCCCTTGTAAGCATCTCCCTTCATCACTCTGAAGAGTCACCCCAGAGCTTCCTCCTCAGAGTAACTCTTCACTATTACTCTCTTGCCCACGTGGCAACTAAGAGGGAGGAGAGAGTTTCAAGAACCGGGGGTCTACACTATTTGAGACTAGTCCTAATCAAGAATGACAAAGGTCTTCACGAATTTGCGTGTCATCCTTGCGCAGGGGCCATGCTAATCTTCTCTGTATCGTTCCAATTTTAGTATATGTGCTGCTGAAGCGAGCACTAGAATGACAAAGGTCTTGAAAGACATGCTCTCTCCACCTCTGTGGGTTGTATACAACTGAGGGTCTTGAACCAAAAAATTTTTAATTAATTAGTTAATTAAAATAATAAAGAACAAGAAGACAACCAATTTTAATATGACATGCAGTCAACTGTCTAAACTGCCTCTTGTGATAATCAACGGGTTGATATTTATGGACAAGGAGCCAGGGGCCTGCAGTCAGCATGCCTGCCCAGGAATCATGGTTTTTTATTACGCCAACCGACACTGAAGAAGCCCTTTAGGAGAATGTGCTTCCCAAGAAATGCATTAGCACAAGCATTCACACCAAGGAGGCAGAGGAACCATGCTAGGCACACAGCAGGCACTTGTGACATGTCTCCTAAATCGTGCTGGGTCCCAACCCATTTATTCAGTAAATTACTTTATGAGTAGGTCAAAAGTTAACAGAGCCTTCCAACCAGGTTCACCTTTTAAACAAAGATTGCTCCCCGGCTCCCTAGCTAGAGAGAATCCCTTTGCTAACCTTGCCATTAAAACCAGGCAACCTATGACATTTGATGAAGTAATTAAGCACAAATCAAAGCAATTACTTGACATACCTTGCAATAACCAGATGACATTTCTAATCCCAAGAAGCAAACTGGACGAAAAATAAAATGTGTTTACAGAGGCTTAGATAAATTCAGCATCTATAATAAGGTACTAAGGAAAACCAGGACATTGCGTGCTATCCGCCCCCTTTTTAATAGCAACATCAGATGTGGCGAAATGCACTGAGCTCTTCCCCTACCATGTCATGGCTCTTTTCCTACAGGGATGAAATATAAGACTGAATGAGCCACATGAACAAGCCAGAATGGCAATTCTGAGCAGGGCCAAGACCAAGGAGAAGCAAATGGAACCCCCTAAAGAGCAAAATTTAAGTAGGCACTGACTCCCCTGATGTGCAAGTCCCCACCCCGAGGTTCCTATACTAGGTTTGCAATTGCAAAAGCAAGCCTGTCACTTGTTACATTCCTGGAGTGATAAGAAAAACACAGCAGCAAGCAAGCCCATCTGGAGAACAACAAGCAGAAACGGCAGCGGGGCTGAGAGATCTTTTGGAGCTAAGACTTCAGGCCAACCATACGCTTATGGGGCAAAATTAAGAAGAGCAAGAAAAAGAAAAAGCATCTGCCTATCCGTATGCACCAAGTATAGGAATAACATAAGCAAAAAAGCTAACATTTGTAAACATCTACTATGTGCCAGATGCTTTAAATGCAATAGCTTATTTAATCTTCAAAACAACACTTAGAGGTGGGTATTATTATTATTATCACCATTTAGGAGATAAGAAACCTGAAACTTGGAGAGATTTAGTAAATTGCCCCAGATCTGAGAGCTAATAAATGCCAACACTGGCCTATGGTATTATCCTAAGTCTGTTGTTTTAATTGACAGTCCCACACATACAGATGTCATTTTCAAGAAAAGCAGACAGTAATAAAATAATCAATATGTAGTAGCATGTCTCAAATTAGTAAGAAACCACTTTAGACATAACCTTTTATGAATTTGTACACAGACTCAATGAGAAACTTTCTTATCTCACATATCTTCATAGCCTGACAATATTTTTGAGGGGTTCGGAAAGCATGGATTGTCATCTTGTTAGACAGATGAAGAAACTGACGTGCCAAATGCAGCTTGAGTGAGGGGCGGAAAAAGGATGGTGGCCCAAGCCCTTTGAAGCTGGCCAAGCCATGGCTCCTCCCACTGGACACCCCTGAAGGGCTTTAACAAACCAAGCCACTAACCTCCACATCCCCGTGAAACTGAACATGGTGCTCACACAGCGAGGGAGGGGCGGCGGGGTGAGTCCATCCAGGCGCATGAGCAGAGCTGGGACGCCGAAGAGCACCAAGTACTTCACATAGAAAAAGAGCACTTGAGCCAACGCCAGTCCTCCTGAAAGACAGAGGGACTGTTAGACACAGCGACGGGAAGTGGAGCAACCTCCTGCAAAAGATGCAACATTCCAGGAAATATGGCACCTGGTCTTGCTTCTCTACTCACTCCCCTTCGTCCCCTCAACTCACACTGAGTCTCCCACATTGGTTTCAACCAATAAAATTTTTGGATTAACAAATATTGAAATCTCCTCTGTTATTGACAGACAACAGGACCTCTTAGCAGTCACGCTTTTATGGATACTAGGAAAGGGTACACTTAAAAATATACATATATTATGTTAAAAAACTATTAGAAAGGGAAAATCTTTCCCAAATCCTTTCAAAATCTCACGTGAGTTCACACCCACCAGGATGCATAGAATCAAAAGGTCGGATCAACAAAGGCTGGTGGAGATGTGGAGAAATTGGAACCATCATACACCATTAGTGGGAATGTAAAATGGTGTAGCCACTTTGGAAAACAGTTTGGCAGTTCCTCAAACAGTTAAACATAAAGTTACCCCATGACCCAGCAATTCCACTCTTTCATACATACCCAGGAGAAATGAAAACAGATATCCACACAGAAACTTATACCCGAGTGTTCGTAGCATTATTCACAATAACCAAAAGATGGAAACAACCCAAATGTCCATCGACAGATGAATGGATAAACAAAACATAGTATATCCATACAATGGGATATTATTCTGCCATAAAAAGGAATGAAGTACTGATACATACTACAACACGGATGAATCTTGAAAACATCATGCTAAGTAAAATAAGCCAGTCACAAAAGACCACATATTATATATGAAAGTCCAGAATAGGGAATAAATAGAATAGACAGAAACAGAAACAGAAAGTTAATTAGTAGTTCTCTAGCATGGCATGGGGGGTCAGATTATGGGAGTGAGAGCTAAAGGGTAGAGTTTCTTTTTGAAGTGATGAAAAGCTTCCAAAATTTGGCAGTGGTATGTCATATCTGTGAATATACTAAAAGCCATTGAATCGCACACTTTAAACGGGGGAATTGTATGGTATGTGAACTATATCATGATAAGGATATTTTCTTAAAAACATGAAGGCCCCAAGCTGCAACAATTATCAGCTTCTTAGCCCAAATTATGACTTCTGGGGCAAGAGGAATGCAGGGTGCAGGTGCTGAGCAAGACATGAGACCTGAAACACACACTATGGCCCCCACAGGCCTCTGCATGGCCCCACTCAGAATGACCCACCTCTCCAGCTGGGGCTCAGGATGCTCTACCAACTACCACCTCCCCTTGGGCTCCTGGTCTGGCTGCTTCAACCTCTTCACTCCCAGAGGAGGGTCGGGGACCTGGGCTACAGGTCAATACAGTACCACCGACCTGAGCCAGCTGCTGGCCCCGTCTGCACTGGCCTCGGCAGTGGGGTGAGGAGGTGAGACGAGTCCACCACAGCAGGGCCCTGGAGGAAGCCCTGGAGAAGATGACCAGTGGCCATATGCTGTCCACCTTCCCCAGCATACAAATACTACAGGTCAGGTTGGTGCCGCCGATCACATTATCTGTAGGATATTTTGAAGGAAATGATTAAGCCTTAAAGAAGTACTGCCAGAAAACATTACTGTCTGGGGCTCTTGACATCACAGGAGGGTCTTTTAAAGAATGTCACTACTATGGAGTATGTGCCTGTACATGGTCACTCCACCAGAAGACACACATAAGCCATTTTCTGAATATACAGTTTCAGCAAAGGCAAGTGGTGGTTCAAATTTGAAAGCCATATGTCCTACAAGGAGAAAACCCCAGGAATCATTGTACCTCACTCCCATTCAGTAGTCAAACAGGTTCCTCAGACTTTTGGGATCAGACTACAGTCATACCTGCTGGAAGGGCTGGGTATAAAATTGCAGCATTCTTAGATTTGTGTAATAACAGTCAAGAAAGAAAGCTGACATGTGTGTGCGTGTGTATGAATATATATGTAGGTATGTCTGTGTGTATGTCTATACATACACGTTCATCAAGAAGTGGGACATATGTGCAAGCAATACCATCTTGAAAGCATTTGGGGGGCATATGACTACCCTGAACGGTGAAGAAATCAGTTACACTGGCGGAGATGGCAATGAGGGGGACTCTAAAATACTCCAAAATGAACCACGAGGTTCTGATCAGAAAAATCCCAGAGATAGAAAAGGTAGAGCATAAGTAAGGATGACTAATTAAAGGGCACAAATCTTCCAGAACTGAAAATGATCAGCCTGAAGAACTGAAGGCATCAAAGGATGTATGGAAGACCGTGCATGGTTAAGGCATCCAGAACTCTTTTGTATATGAAGCATCAGAGACTTCTTTTCCCTGTTAACAGGACACAAGATCAGGGAGAATGAATTGCTTCCTGTCTCAAATACTGTCTTTAATTTGACACTATTTTTGCGCAGTTGTCATATATGAAGCATATGAATTAAAATCCATAGCTGAGTCTACATTTTTGCACCCTTTGGACACAATCTTCACTATTTTTTCATATGGAACTGGGCTAAAGAAAGGATTGATTTTGTGCAGATGCTTAACATAACTCTATGGTTAGATCTAACTGAAGATAAAGTAATTGGGCATTTTTACCCCAATATGGATGGAAAGCCCAAGAAGCCACACATTTATTAATACACAAGTGCTCTATTTATCTGTTATTGAATGTTTCTTATGGATTAAGATACAAAAGTCCTAAATTTATTTTTTTCTTGATATTTTAATAACTGGTTTACAAGCTTATGTGAAAAAATTATGCATAATGGTTTTTAAAATATTATCATTGTATTTCTATATTGTTTAATTTTTCAGAAAATTGTGTTTATATTCACAAGTTTAACAATTCTGCTGTCTTGCTGTTGATTTTCATCATCCTTATGAAAGATGCGTGGCTCATTCTTGTTTCCCCTTGACCTAAAGATTAGTCTTTCCCTTGTAAGATTCAGTTTAAGGTTGCAGGGTTAACCACAGAATTTTCCCACATTCTCTCACTAGGCAAACAATATGCTAGAAGGCAACATAAGAATATAAATGGCTCTAGATTGATTAAAAGTTACTTGACATGCATAAATTGAACTAGCTTTCATTATATTCAAAAATAAATAATTTAGCTATTTTTCAATACTTCAAAAAATTTTTGCTGGGTTTGTATTTAAAAGATTCTCTTATTAGCAAGGATTATAATTGGTTACCTAACCTAACCCCTTCCTCCCAAAAAAGTCAGAGATGAGTTCATATATTATACTCTCCCTTGACATTCATTCATCCAACAAGCATGGACTGAGTGACTGACTACTGAATCATCAGTTATGTGCAATGAGAAATAGACTAGCGGTCAAATCAGGTGGGAACTTAGCCTTCAAGAGGCTCACAGGTCAGCTTCATTACAGTCCCATTTATCCTTCCCTTTTGGCTCATGGTGTTTTCTTCTGCCTTTATGTCCTATCGCTCCTTCTCCTCGTGGCAAAATCCCACTTATCCAGATCTCAGTTCAAATATAGTCTCTTCTTCATAACTTCTCTATGCTCTAAGCAGAATTAATAACTTATTTTTGCATTCATTTAATATATAGTTATTGAGCACTGACTGCTTGTCAGATACTGAGCAATACGGTGGTGAATCAAGAGGCATGATCCCTGCCCTTACAGAATATACAGTCTGTTAAAAGAGATAGAAAGGAATATAAATGAGGAGTGGGATTAAAACCCACACCACTAGGACAGGCAACAGTCTGAACACAGTGGCCTAGACACATTTGTTAGAACATGTAATAAATATTCACTGTGTACTCATCACGTGCCAAACATGGTTGTAGGTGCTTGGTATACATCAGTGGATACTCCTGCTTTCATGGGGCTTATATCCTAGCAGAAGTCAACAAAAAATAGACATAAAAACAAATTCTATATGGATACTAAGAAAGTATGGCAGGGGCCGGCCCCGTGGCTTAGCAGTTAAGTGCGCTCACTCCGCTGCTGGCGGCCCAGGTTCAGATCCCGGGCGCGCACCGACGTACCGCTTCTCCGGCCATGCTGAGGCCACGTCCCACAAACAGCAACTAGAAGGATGTGCAGCTATGACATACAACTATCTACTGGGGCTTTGGGGGGGAAAAAAATAAATAAATAAAATCTTTAAAAAAAAAAGAAAGTATGGCAGAATGTATTTCCCAACAATGGCTGCAACAATATTTTCCATCCCACATCCTCTTTTGCAATATAATCTTGCCACTCCCCCAACAAAAGTAAATCTGGGCAGGTCCTAGGACCAACAGATACTGAAGAAGTGATGCTGTTCCACTTCCAAGTGTAGCTTGTCATTGGCCCGGCAGCTTCCGCTTCCTGCCTCCTATAATGCTCACTCTTGGGACACTCCCTCTTGGATCCAGCTGCTATGCTATGAGATGTGCAAACCACATAGAGAGACCACACAAAGATGCTCTGGGGGACAGCACCAGCTGAGCTCCCAGCCTACAGCCAGCCTCAACTGCCAGTCAAGAGAGGAGCCTCCTTGGATGTCATGTCCAGTCAAACCTGTGGATGACCACAGCCCCAGCCAACGTCTGACTGCGACCGCAGGAGAGACCCCAAGCAAGAACTATCCAACCAAGACCAGCTAACCAACAGAACAGTGAAAGGGAGGAAATCATTGTTTTACACTACTAAGTTTCGGGATAGCTTATTATTCAGCAACAGCCAACTGAGAAAGAGGGCAATAAATGCAATGGAAAAATAAAAATTGTTGAGCAGGGTAAGGGAACCCAGAAATGCCAAGGTGGCGGGTACTGCTATTTTTAAAAGGGAAATCAGGGCGGTCCTCATTGAAAAGAGTCATTTGAGCAAAAACTTGAAGGAGGTGAGGGAGTGAGCTATGCAGGCACCCTGCTCTCTCTAGAGATCTCATCATACTTTGTTCTTATGGTTTGTGCTGTGGTTATCACACCAGACCATAGCTGTCCACACATGTACCTATCCTAAGAGATCACAAGCTC